CGCGGTTATATTGGGGGTTACGTTGTTTGTTCGCCAATCGTATTTGAGGGTAGTAAATAATCGGAGGTCGCGAGCTATTTGTTCTATTGAAATGACTAAGCATGTAAGAACTTGATCTCCGAGGAAATCTCTATAGGTACGTACTCGTGTCTCTCGAGGGACGGCTCGGATCTAAAGGTCATTGTATTCCCAACGGTTGATATGATTACACAGGCTTTTAGCTGCTCGATACACGAACACTTAGAAATGTTTTGTGGGTGTATAATGTAGCGCCAGTAATTGTGTTTCTTGTTGCTTATTCTGTTATCCATATTAACTGAATAAGGTAAGTATTTGGGACGAGACTTTCGTTTGTAGTTGGGTGATATCTTTTGGAGATATTTCAAGTAAAAACAAAAATCTGGAAGGATTTGTAAGGATTTTAAAATGATACAAGAATCATTGCTTTTTTACTCTAGTTATATTTAGACACACCTAAACCTTATTTGCCCGCCTTGAGCAAGTGGCGATCAAAGCTCTCTCTTCTAAGAAATCCCGTAAGAAAAGGCCTTTGCCCAGCTGTGGGACGGACAGTTGAAGGCTAAACGGATAACGAGTAAGCTACGATGTACGAGTAAAAATATAATGTTCTAGCGTAAATAGGATTTACTCACCACCTGCAGCTTCTTAAGTTCAGGGTCAACTTTCTTTGTATTTCGAGTGGTTTATGAATGTAGTGACGTCACTCTAAGGTAAGAAACTAAAAGACTAACTTTGTGTGCATATGATTGAACGGTTGACGCGTTCGCTAGGCAACCGGCTGCTGCGCAACCTAACGCGGATTCAATTACCGCACGAAACAATTATTTGTGTAATTCATAGTTTTGTTATGGCTGTTACGTCATGTACGTGAAATTCTATATTTGTAAATGCAGTAAGGAAAAATAACTGGCGTTTTTTACTTAAAAAATATATTGTTTTATAGGCGATCATTTTATGTACTCATACACGAACCACGAATTAATTACGTTATTAATAAGTCCATTAGCCATATAATGATTATCTTAATAGAAACAGGCGAATTGGAATAATTTGAACTAATTATGCAGTCAGTAGCCTTATTACTGCTCCATAATGTACAGGTGCAACCAGAATTCAGCATTGCGCATTATGTAGGGAGATTGCTTACACTTCTTTGTTTGGCTCAGTGGACCACCTGAAGAGGAATTTTGTCTCTGACATGGAATAAAAAGAGAGATTTTAGGAAAACTTTCAAAAGCTGAAAAATCTATGTTATTTTTTTTTATTTTTTTATCATTTTTCTAGACATTTTCTCCTGTGTCGTGTGTGCTTCATACAAATTCCCACACACTTCAAAGCCAGACCCGAAATAACAATTTACGGATTACACAAAACCATTTTTTTTACATTACTACTACAAAACTTCATTTTTCAGTTATGAGTTTCAGTAGAATATCATGTAACGAATAAAGTTACGAATTGGTTGTAGATATCTGGTCCTGGACCAGGGAGTGGCACGAAGTATCGGTACAAGTAAATACCTGCTCAGCACAATACTCCAACGTTTCATCAATCGCAGAAGCCGCACTTCGCTGCAGTTCCCATCTTGCACGTTTGCCACCTTCGAGTATGAATGTTCTGTAGTACGCTACCGTCACTTGGGAAATTGTATCTCTTTGTAATCTTAATCATTGTAGTTTGTTTTTTAGTTTTATGGGAAAAGCTACCAGTCGTAAACAATGTTATTTAATTGACTTTTAAAATCATCATTATAAAGAACAGAAATCTTAACCAATATGCGATATGAAGCCCACATAATACCCTAGACGCCTATACGTAGCAGCGCATTGGTCACATTTCATCCCAAGTTCGAATATAGAATGCAACTGTTTGTCAATGCTGTCCCACAATTTATCGCAATACAGCTTGTCTCATGCATACTCGAGAGACAGGAGTAGTCTTTGTACGGCGGCCGGAGTCTTGTGCAATCTTGTGCGAACAAGCCATGTTTATTCGGTCGAACATTCTAGATAGCGGCGAGCCGGAATTATTTGTACGTTTGTCTATTCCTGTCCACTCGTGGGGATAAATCAATGTGGAAGCCACGCTCACTACACTGCATTTGCTTTGGAAATTGTTAAATTGAAGTTTATTTTGCTAAATGTTAAGTTAAATAAAGTTACAGGTTGTGAACAGTTGGTCATTAGAGCGAATATACGTGAACTCTGTATAGCTAATGAAGCTACATAATGAATTGAGACGTTACTGAGCTTGTTACCAATATTTCTGATTCTGATTTTACTTTGATTTTTAAATAATCAAGGAACCATTTATCTGTTTTAGTGCCGGAACGGTGCTCTGAACAAACCAATTTAATGTAAAGAACGGCTCACAACATTAAATGAAGATATTAACAAAAATAATAAACACATGGATGCCGATACGTTTATACGTATGACTGTTCAAGATTACAGAATTCTTATAAGATGTGTATGAATGAAATAAAGCATGGTGCACACTCGCCGGTAATCCGGCGACCTAAATACACGGCGCGTGTGTCATCACATCGAGACGGCGGCTTAAAGGTAGCAACCAGTTGATACTGCCGACGATTTTATTCCTCCCAAAGAAAATATTGTACTTAGCGAGATTATGGAAAGAAAAATATAATTTCTGAGATTGGCACTCCCACTTCAAAAGAGTGAAGATATATTTTTGCTTATTCTCGTACTAAATCGCTTTCCTTCGTTGGTATTAATGCGATTTTATTATGAAAAAAAAGCAAATATGATGTTCACCTGAGTGCTTCATATGAGCCGTATTTGATTTCATTTTGCGTTAACATGTTTCGCATTTCGTTTCGATGCAAAAAATAACAACAATGTATCAAATGTTGCTTCCCCGCCGCGCGATGTAATGGACCCGATGCCGGCGTGGCAGCGCGCGTCTCGTTATTTAGCTATACGGAATGTCAATGTACATTTCACTCACTGGGTTTTCATTTGGATCGCTATACCGATGCTAATTGGTGTCATGTTCATGAAATAAAATACAAAGTTTTTTTTTAATAATATTTATTAATACTCCCTTTTTTCTTATTACAATTTATGTACAAGATACAAAACAAATGAAATCAACCCTTTCATTAATCAGTTTGTGGATACTCTGTAATAGCCACAATAATAAAAACGTTCCGTTCTTCAATCGTACAAATAAGTCGTCGAATTACATTTAGTAACATCATACTACGCGTTATTTAAAGGAACATAGCTAGGTATATTTGTGCTACCGTACTATCGCAATATTTCAGTATTAAACTACTTTACAAGTATACAAGAAGATGGAAAAAGTGACGCGGGCGTCGATCCAAGGAGTACTCGCTCAATGTACGCCGCGTAAGTAACGAGCGACGCGAGAAAATCAATTAGACACTCCGCCTTAAATAACCCCAAATTTACTTCGCCGTAAACCTAATAAGTCTCGTTTTACGCAGCGTAAATTGACTCTGTACGGGTCTAGATTAACATGAAAATTAAATTCTATTACCTGCGATGGAAATTCAATTTATACATAAAATTTAAGTGGAAAACAGTCAATAGATTCTTAATAATTATTTGTCGTTATTCCCTAGTAATTACAGGTTCAAGGCTCTTGTCATTGGAAATTGTGATTGCGGTGCTTTTGTAGTTAGCATGTTTATAACGTGAACGCAGCAAGTTAGATACAGCGGCGGCGGCGGCGGCGGCGTGAGCCAGTGAAGGTAAAGTTTCACCGTAGGCTTGTTGGGCAACTTGTTTGTAATTCTGAACACAAACTTATTTGACACTGCAACACCCACAGGTGAACCTCGCATTAGTCGGGAGTACGACAAGGGCGTTGCTGAGTTTATACGCTTTTGTTTGCCTCAAACGATCTTTATTTTACAGACATTCATCACTAAAAACAAACACGCGATTGGCGTTCTGCTTAAAATAACTTTCGTGTACCGAGAATCTAAATGTTTTTTTACACATAAATTTGCTCACTTATCAATACATAACTTTCAAATTACTACATATGTGTTAAACTTTCCATTTCCAATGAAAAGAGCCTTCAGTTAAGATAAATAGGTTGTTCTAAGAACAAAACAAGAGAAACAGTTTTTCACCACTCGAATGGTAGAATGTCTAGGTACGTCATTATCCAACCTTACGATTAAACTCATTTATTTTGTATTTACAACAATACGAAATATTTACAATGCGATCTGATATAAACTTTATTTATTCTACATTATTACGTATAGTTTACTTTATTTACAAAAAATGTTATACATTCACTTGTGTCTTAAACAATAATTCGTCAACAGAATTGTTTATTACGCTTTCCGAAAATTATACTAATTTATTGTAACTTAATGAGCATTGTTCTACGAAATCACATTTCATTTAAAATAAAACAGAATAATACTGACCGTCGTAATCAATCACAAATTTTGTAAAAATGTCAATTAATTTAATAACAATTCCTAAATTATTGATCTATTATTAATTTAATATTAAGCCTACAACGTTCGATGGGGTCGGAGCTGGACTAGTTCTAGTAAATGTTTATTATTACAACAACACAATATTATCACAATTTACTTCACAGTGTCAGTGTCGGAAGAGTCCCACTTCTAAATTAGTAAAGTGACTCAATTTGTCCGTCTGTATGTACCTATCTATAAACTGATATTTGTGCTAACAGTAAAAGAGAGCTGCGAGCGAGCAACGAGTCCTGTTTCAATATTGAAACTGTATTACATGCCAAAAGGATTTGCACATTTAATTATACTAATCAAATAACTTGAGTAACAAATTAGATTTCCGACTTTATAAAACAAACATTAAAATAACGAAGAAATATATTTTTATCCGGTATTCGTGACTGGAATGTCGTGTTACAATAAAACGGAATGCTTGGTAAATAAGGGACGCTCCGTGCCCCCGGCGCGCGGCGACATCTGGCGGTTAAGCCGATCATCTGCAGACGGCCGACGATAGCAGGTAGGTGACGATGGCACAGCTCAGCTGTGACGTGAGGTAGGACGACGCTCGGTTGCTGGTCTGCATCGCTGCTGGGTGCTCGCCTGGATCAAACGCAAGTACATTGCATGCATACAATCATACCTCAGGTCACACGAATCACTGATGAGATTCAGTACATACATGATTATTTGTGACTACAATACTTTTCCATAAATTTCGTTCTTTGTAAAATTTCCTGTACCAAAACTACGGAACATAATTCTGAATCGATTTCACCATAAAACAATAAACCGAGAAATGAGAAGAACGATACTAGTGTAATCGGAAACACTCGAGTAATATGATATGTACTGACCATTGAGCACGTGCACGGACACAGAGGCGGGGTGAGCGTTGTTGGGCACACACGTGTAGTTGCCGGAGTCCGTCAGTGCGGCCTTCGTGACCAGCAGCTTGCTGGTGGTGCCACCTTCAGTCTTCTCCGTCTCCAAGCTGATCCCCCCACGGGGGGAGTCGAAGTCCACCACGGAGTTACCGTGATACCTATTGAACAATACGGCTATGTTTTAATACTTGTTTTGAGAAAGCTACCGCAATTGTATAAAAATACATTCCATAAACAAAGACAATATACAATCAATAACCAAACATTGGTTAGATTCGCAGAGTAAAATTCAACGAAATAGAAACGAGGTCAAATACACATAGGCAGGTATCGGTAGCGTCCACGTAAATATTGCGAACAATAATATTTACCATAAAATTGAGGCAGTGGAGGGCGGCGACGAGTGCACATTCACTGAACACGTCAGCGATATTGTGCTGCCTTTCTTCACGTACACGTCCTGCGAGCCCCATATGGTCGCCGCAGCCGCTGCAACAAATGAAACAGAACCTTCACTACATAACTTTACAGTACACAATCCCGTGACGACATTTGTACAAACACTAGAAAATGCTTGCATATTTACAAATCGTATTCAAATGGGAATTCAGGGCTGATAGGTAAGGTTTTCAAATCTCAGGTAATGAAACTAGTAACATTTGGGAGCTACCGACATCGGGAGTATTACAACGGTCCGTGTTTGCGTTGCTTAGGTAAAACGTTGAAAGTTCTCGATTAATGAGTTTTGATAGGACATGTTACGTGCAAGCTTATGAACATAGTCCAATGAGATCATTTCTCCAAAGGTTTGTTATTGAAGTAGTCATCCAAGCAGTTACTCTTGTGTGGAGATACATTGAAGTTTGCGAATTAATAAATCTCAGTTGGAATCCCTTGTAACTGTTCAAGAGCCTACTTAAACAAGACAATAATGATGATGCAACTTTAAAAGCCAAGTCGAGCCAATTTCACTTTGACTAAACCTAATTTGACTTTAAAAAGTGTTTAACTTAGCATTATGGCTTTCTCTAACTTACTCAATTCCAAACACTGGTTGACGTAACGACTAAAACGTTTATTTTTATTATGGCAACCCACCGATTTGGATGTTGGCAATAAAATTTTATTCTCATTTCTGTGGCGCAGTATTTGACAGTAATAGCTCATCGGCCAACTTTAGAATCCATTCAGTTGGGCTATATTGCTTTTTCTTCATTAATTACATTATACTTTCTTGTATCTCGAGCTGCAGTGGCAATCATGCATCTGCCTACACTTTATACAGTCAGACGATGGAGGTCAACAAACATGGGCAACACAAACTGATCGCTACTGCATGGACCATCGCACTTCCAGTTCATGCAAATCAAAAAGCGCTACGCCGTCGTATGCCCAACCAAACTCCATCTAATAGTATGGAACAAAACATCTCGTGCTGTCAACGGAAACACGAAAACTAAGCCGCTACGTATAGATGAAATTATAATGAAGTACTAATGAATAAACAAATGAAAAATGTAATTAAAAATGAAGAGAAGGATACGAAACCGGTACCTGAGGAGCGGGGCGGGGCCGAGGTCGCGAGGATGAGGGACTCATCTGGAATTCACAAGACAACAGCTTAGGAGAGGGCGAGGAATACAAAACAGCATGTGACCCTACCGGAGATGCATCGAAAGAGTTGAACCTAGTATTAGATTTGGTAGAATTAGCGATACAGCGACATGGCAATGAAATGGAAATTAGTGAACTGGGAGTGACTGGCAAACTGATGTCGCGGACGACCTTGACGCACTGTTTATTATTCAAATCACAGTCTATACAGAAGTCTAGAGACTAGAAAATGGGGGATGACGTGATAGAATTATAACTATGTCTCGAGTGAGCTCAACTGGGGAGTTTTAGATAAATATCAATTAGAATAGTTTAGACCCCGCCACGAATAGTAAAATTGTATAGGATAGAGAAGAGGGAGTTTCTACGAGTCCACTTACCATAGTGCCAGCATGTCTAGTGCGTCCAAATATAATTATTTCGTATTTGATACAATCCAAACAAAACCACTATACGTATAACTTAAATGAACTACTTTTAATAGATTATTTAAGGAAAATTCTTCACATTTTAGTAGGACGACAATAACAGCGTGGGCGGTTTATTGTCTTTCGATTTTCTTCTTCGTTGGTCGGAGTAAACTTGCTAATACCTATTATGCTAAATACTACAACGTTAATTGGTAGACAGAGGGCCAATTAATATTGTTAGTCTACATAAATTACACGCACAACGTTTATTAGTGTTATGTTTAAATTCCATTTTATAGTGCCTGGTAATATCCACTGTCATCATTAAATAAAAATATTTGACATGTTTTTTACGTTTACTAACGTATTCATAGAATCTTCAATTGGAAAATTTGTTAAATATAATATAAAATATATATTATATAAAATATTATATATTATATTTATAATATAATATTATATTATAAATATAAATATAATATATAATATTTATTATATTATAATATTATATTATAAATATAAATATAATATATAATATTTATTATATTTTAATATTATATTATAAATATAATATATAAAATATATATTATATTTTCATACTATGAAAATTCAAGTCTCCATAAAACTATACGAAGCAAGCACAGTGAAGCATTGTCGGACATTTTTCAACAATAACAAGCCCTGTAATTGGCTGTGAGGTGAATTTGAGAGGTTCGCATGATGTATCTGGCGGCGAAGCGTGCACTAACAAATTGGCTACTATGAAAACGAGTCGGTAAAAAATAGTGCTCATTTAGGCAACAGCGGTTTTGGTAACGAAACGGATTTGTTCCGGCACATAAGTCACCTAATCGATAACGAACTTTGAGACTTACACTCCGGATTATATGAGACAGATCGAGTCCATTTCTCTTGTCGAAATGTTACTTGTCTAATGTCGTCTAGTCTGAGTCTAGCGAGAGCGAGGACAGGGTACTTTGTGCCGGAACATTTTTAGCCATTTTCTTGTCATTTGAGTCTTGATTTATTTTATGAACATTGGCTGTATCAAATGCTGTCTTTCTTATTTAGGTATATAATCAAAGCATTTCTAGTCAGTTTCACATCGAAAATTTTGCTAAATATTTGTTTAGCTCAAGTTTAAATAGAAAGTAAAACTTTCTCGTTTGCAAAACTTAGAACGAAGTCATACAAAATTTTGTGCTGTTCTTTTAAAGTTTAAGGTAAAGAGAAAAACGAAGGATGTTCTCGAAAGTGAAACTGATACGAAACAGGACCCTGGAGATCCCGAGAAAGTAAATATATCGCACAAAAATAAAACACCCACTCACTCGTGTAATACTTTAGTAAAAATCAGAACATTTTAGTAGTCGAAGTAATAAATCGGGATATTAAATAATACAGCTATCGAATTCTGTCAGAACTTACGCTGATACGAGTTATATAGAAATATTCACGCTAAGCACTTATAATCCGCGTTTTATAATTAAAACCATAAGCTGTAGTACGGCGGGCGGCGGGTGGCGAGCGGGCGATGCAAACACTCAACGGATAGAGTTATTTTGTAGGGGCGAGTTTATAATGTTTCATAACGATGAAATAAAATTGAAGTGACGACAACAGCGTGAGCTCTAAACTTTCCGGGATGCGGTTAACTTAAAAGGGTTATGCTTTTTTATCATATAATCTGTGTGAGCGGGAGTTTGTCGTGATGGCTACCTCGAACGTACACAGCTGGGAGGAGAGATAAAACGCAACGCAAGTAGCGTGAACCAATGAAAGGTTAATTCGGGATTTAGTCTACTATATTTTCTATAAAATAACTTAGAAAATCTTTCTTATATCCCACTCGCATGGCATAAACATAATTTACAGAACGTTGTGTACAATAAATAAATAAAATTATTCCAATACTATTTCTCAGTTGACATAAAGCCAAACAAAAAGATTCAAATTCGTCCTTATATCAGTGCGTAGGGAATAGTAAACATCGTACATATTTGCAAGATAAAAGCATTTTCCTGCTACATGAACAAGGACAGAAGAATTTCTCAGTCCATTGAAACATAACAGTAATAGTTTTGCCCATATTTTTTCCTGAATAATCTGTGCGAGTTCCAGTACTTTCACGCCAATCTACCGTGTGCCTATTGATTTGAACGCAGCCGTGAGTTTTACTTTGACAACTCAAGTGTTTGCCTGAACTGAATGATTATTTAATTGCCGTTCCAAGTCTTTCAAGGGAAGTATGTTGAATTGTTTTGAATCGGTATTTTTTAATTGAATACAAATTCTGGCATAACTATAAATAAAACATAGTACACAATATCTCATTAAGACGTAAGTTATAAAGATGTTGACAAAACAGGATTTCTTCTACTACTAATACTTTGATTCTTTAATTGCATTTCGTATCGACCGTAACTTAAAAGTTAGCTGAAACCTTAATCTATTTAAGAGACGATTTTTTTTTCTTCTGAAATCATCAAAAAAATAACACAGGTACTTTTTAAGGTAGCAATTTGTTTAATTATCCGACTCAATTGTTTAGACCTTGACCCGTTTTGTCGCGAAGTTTTTATAAAGAGCCCGACGGCGGTTAATTCTAAAGATTCATAATCGGATAAAAAAATACCAGCGTTTATGTCGCTAATGGGTTCTGCAGAGATATTTTCCTGGCTGTTAGTAATTACCAGCTTTTACCTACACACTAATCGGTTCAGAGAACGATATCCTGTTTGTATTGTTGAGTACAATATTATATGGTGCCTATGTGAAGATATAAAAAGTATATAAGTAGATTAAAATTTGCTTATGGAACTGTTATAGCTGCAGAGCAGAGCTGTTATATGATTTTGGCAAATTATCAAGCGTAGTATTATAATAACAAACTAAAAATTAGTTAATTTACGACTAAAATATTCAGCACATTTGTATCATTGGCACCAATTCTGTAGATTTCCACAAGCTTTACAATAACGTATTCTACAAGAAAGATTCGGTTCGTCACAATTAGCGATAAAAATAAGAACGCTCAAACAAAAGACTATCTTATCCTACCAAATCTAATTGACGCAGCTACATTGATTTTATAAATAATTCTCATTGAATTGATGACGGAACGATTCTCCCTTAAAGATTGCTTTAAATTATTCATTGGAGGACCATTCGGCCTTCATTTATATTGGATACTTTCCTTTGATCGTTCATTACGCTCCGCCCCAGATCTGATAGTTTATCAGTTTCTGATAAAACGACAATACTTTGCAGTACATTTTTTATTTGTTTTCGTCTTAAAAATATATTTCTTTTCTGATTTTATTTTTCTTTTGATATAAACGTTTATGAGCTGTTTTAGCCTCTTTGCAAACGAAAACAGACCGTATGTCCTCATTACGCTTTATGCGTGCTTGTTTTACTCTCAAACACTGCGTGCTGTTTTTTTTTATTGTTTATTATCAGTAAGAAGATTACGAAAATATTATATTAATATAAGATTTGCGATCTTGCTTTATGTGCCAATGAAATCCCAAAGATGCCAGTGCCAATACTGACGATGAGACGATAATTACGTATCAAAATCTAATTAAATACGAAAATATTTCACATTGGCATTATTGTTATTTTATGTCTTCGTAATGCTTAAGGCCTTTTATCAGGCCTCTGTTAATTAAGTACAATGATGAAGGGCAGATAATATTGTTAGAGCGGCCACGCTTATATTGCATTCTCTTCGAAAATGTAATCTCTAGTATTATGTTCTCGAGAAATGTGATTTCGACGCATTATTTTCTATAACAGTTTACCTCTAAAACTCTTTATCTCAGCACAGAGTACGCATTTTCTTTTATTTTTATATTTGATATTGTGCTATAAAGGCTGGAGATGGAACGTGTGGTACTTTCTCGCCGACTCAATAATGACAATGAATGTTTGTACTTATCTATTTTTCTGGCAATTCATGTACTCACAGGTCAGTGTCACTAGTCTGCCAGCAATTTTCACATTTATTATATAAAGCAAAGCCTCTCTAACACGAGTAATATCCCTCGAGTCACGTTCACCAATAACGTATCGCAATTGCTTGGCTTAAAATCTCAACCGTTTATAAATAACTTATTACAGACCGTTTTAAACGTCTATGAACGTTTAAAGGCGCTTTATGAGGTTTAAATTGAATGAAAAGTTTCACAAGATTACACTTGAAAAGGTTGCGAAAGGGTAATTAATCGCAGTCGACTTATATTTGAGAATCTTTTACACAGATTTGTTATGAATATAAAACACTGATCTATCGAAGCAATGCCAGTACATTCTGTGTTATTAAACCGTATCGCTATAAAATTTTAATAAAATAACTCGCGAGCGTGATACAAAGAGCGCGCGTCGCGTGTGACGTAGATAGATGTGTGCCACTTTGTACCGCGGCATTAGACCCACTACTAATATGACGAGAGATGAATGCCGGATTACGCCATCGTCACTTTTCATGCGTTATATACGATCCCACGGACTAAGGGACCGAGGCTTTTTGTATTGTTTATCCTTGTTACATGGGGACGTTGCGGATAATGGCCTGATATGTTTCTTTTTAAACTTGCTCGGGCAGTAATATTCCGTGTTGGGAGTTCTTTGGATGTCTACCTAGTGAAAAATCGCAGTTTATATGCCAGTACTGATTACAAAAATGTGTATAAACACGTCATATGCAATCGCGGCCAAAATCGGCCTTTATTACTGTTACGTAAGGTATAACAATCTCTTTGCTCCCATCTACATTAGGACAGGTAGAGCCAATTTTAGTTCATAAAAGCAAAATGTAATTTTTCGTAAGTACCTTCAATTTTACCCCTTTTACTATTTTCGCTCATTTTATTTAGGTTTTCATTGCCGGATATGATTACCTCGCTTGTAATTCGAGGGTCGTCGTGACCCGCCCTTCGTAAAATATGTAGCAACAATTTCAATGCGACATTATACATTCCGTTTGAGTGTAGCATGTGCTTTGTAACAAAACGCGTGTGATTACATTTCGTAGATATTTTAAGATATCGTACCATTTGACGTGTAGATTATGTGTATAAACATCTTCGAGTGGCAGCTCATAAAATATGTACTAACGAGCATCATAATGGCAGACTCATGATTTGCCTTGATGCATGCACTTTAACAAATGTTCACAAACTTAATTTAATTTATGAAAATAGCGTAATACAATTACTTATTGTAATAAGAGGCAAAGAGCTGCCTATTATGATATAACAAGCTCAACTCAGCTTTCTTTTAACGCTAACTTTTTCACGAAAATTTAATCATAATTAAGTAATAAGGATAAAAGTATGGAATTTGTTTCAACAGCTGTGTATGTTGTTTTTCAAGTATTTTATGTTAACAATTTAATTTATATTTGCTTTAGGCAAGGTCCAAACTTGTTTGTTCTAATTAAAATATTTTATAGGTTTTTCAGTGCCTCGGTATATACATACTTTTGTGATTAATTTCAATTTAGTTATTGCAGGACTACTGTGGTTTTAAGACTAAGCGAGAAAGTGTTACTACCCTAGCCAAATCTAATATTAGTAACAATTTACAATGATATGAATTTATACGAAATCGTTTCAAATTAAGCACAAAATGAGCTTGATAATGAACCAACCAGTGTAATCGTATGACACGTGATTTATTCCGATACCAAATGCGAATTAGATTTGTAGTATCGTTATAGTATTTTGTTTAAATCAGGCACAAATTAAAGTACGTTTATAGTCAACAACAATACCTAACATTCGGGATATTTACCATATCTATTGATTTTGATAAAATGCAAAATAAACATGATACGGTTTTGTTGCCATGAATTCTAATTTTAGTATATATATAAATGTGTTATAAAGTCACCTTCGACCGTTAGTATCACAGCCATGTTAATTTTGGGTTCCGTGTTGATCTGACACTCGTAGACGCCGGCGTCCCTCGGCTGCACGTAGTCAATCTTCAGGTCCCAGTCGTCGGAGGGCTCAGGGTGGAGGACGCTGAACCTCGCGTCCCCCGTGTACGTGAAGATGTGGGAGGTCAAGATATGAAGGTCACGTTTTCTCATCCACGATACCTGGGAAAAGAAGGCGAAGGTTAATATGATGAGATCAGATACTGAGAGACGCATTCCAAACGCATGATATTATTAGCTTGTAAAAACATTTAGCTACAATGACCACACACCGTACACGACTCAGACTATACTGACCTGCTCCTGGCACAAACTTAATTGATGAAACCTTTATATTAATTATGCGTATGTCTAATTTAATAACAGTCAGTTAACCCAAGACGTAAAGTAATACAGTATCTCAAACGTCAATAATAACTCAATTATCAAATGTCCGATGTAATTCCCAACGTCAAGTTGGCCTATAACATGAATTACCAACTTGAGCCCCGTGGGCTTCAAAAACCGACCAACTTGACTCCAACATCAGCATTTTCGAATAAAGTCGGCCTAAAGTTCGCAATCCAACTTTACCTGACGAATATCAATTAGAAACCTCTCCATACTACCTCGAGCGCCTTTCTCTCGTCCGTTAAAATTTGGATGAATATCGTTAACATCAGTATTCAATATACCGGCCCAGTACGATCAGGTCCCTTTTTGATTAGTGCTCCCATATTGATCTGTCTTTGTTAGTATAATAGAATATGGTGGTTCTGTCACTATTCGCTTTATCCATCTATTCGTAGAAATTGTAGTGGTTCGGGAACTGTGTCTTGAGCCTCGACCACTAAATCTGCAGGGACCCGTACATACGTGCTCCGAAATAGTTATGGACAAGTCGCCAAGTTAACACCTTCACGTACTTGTTCTTGTGCCACAACTTGCGACACTTTTGTGTTGAACTTATCCAGTTAATAATTTGTCTAACTGGTAACGCCTAAATGTGGTAAGAGATTCTGATATTATTATCAAAAGATAATAAAGTACAACAGTGTTTCATGACGTAGTATTACCAATATGCTGTCAGTGCTCATTTTCTTCAGTGCGCGTATATTTTTTAACTCCTCAAAGTTGTGCAGTTCAGATAACTCGGTTATCTTGTGACGAGGTTATCGTGCGGACTTAGAATGAGCCATCTAAACACGTGAAGCGTGCCTGCCCTCACAGAGTCGAGCGACTTATTTTTCCGTGTGCCTACATCACAAAGAGATAGGCCCGTGCCCTTTGATTAAAATTACACCGACAATAAACGTTTGAATTATATTTTTAATTCGAGAGCTCTCCAGACTGAGAAATTAGAAAATAAATTCCCCTCCCTTTTGTTGGGTTTTTGTTTTTCTACGTAATTAGAGTAAGCTGGGGTGAGCCCGTAAGTCCGCCCTGTAATTAAGCAAGATGGAACGTCCTCAGACTGTTTACAGCCTTTAAAATAATAAAATTAAGTAACGGCTAAGCGACTGAGAGGTTTTTTTCAATTCCTCTCGAGCGCCTGCAGAAATTTGATGAATTAACCTCAGCATTGAAATGGGTCAGTCGACGTCGCTTTATGTTTCCGCAAGAACTGTGCAGGATATTTGTTTATTTTATTATCCTCGTCAAGGGCTAAGGAAGATTTATTCTGTCCTTCTCGAGGTATATTCTGAAGCGGAAATGTGTAGGATTTACTAAGATCATCCGCGAGTTTATGACAATGGACGGCGCTAAATGTTTATTTACAACAAATGCCACTTTTTATACAACTTTATGTCTAAATCTGTATCTTTGTATTTACAAATTCGATCGAATAAAATCCATGAAGACATCACTTCATACCGGGAGCATCCAGGAAGAGGTAGAAATAAACAGGCAATACTGTGCGAATAAAGCAATGTTTATAAATTACACAATATTGGACAAAACAAGTCCGCAGCCAGTGGGAGAGGAAACACGGACGATGTATCTATACATAAAGGTGTACCGGCATCGCCTGCGGTGACCCAAATACTGCATTTGTGCCAAATTGCTGTTAAAGCTATTTTAACGAGTATGATCATTATGACAATATCAGTCCATTACAGGGGTCATTTCAGCGTTGATTTTCGGTAATTTTACGATTGAAAGAATGTTTATATAGAGGAAACATTTGCTTGAATTGAATCGATTTCTGTTTTAATAGCTATACCACTGCTAACTAAATTAGCATAATCAAAATTATTGTAATCGTGGCTTTGACATGTTATTCACATTTCCTCCCGAACCGCTTAACCCATACAGCCATTATCATGTAAACCAACAAAAGCTTATAAAAACGTCAGTAACTTAAACCGTTTCCACTCAGCATACATTGAGCCCAACACAGAAACCCCATCAGGACGGCATAAAACAGAAAAAATCCTAAAAAGGGGTTCGTAATCCACGCGGCCTTTTTACAAGAAAATGACGGCAGATAATCCATGCCGAACAATATATTATAATGCATCGTAGGACATGTCAGATGGCTATTTATTTTCTCGAATGGGTTGGGGATCCCTCAACCATTAATATGGCGGCCAGTGGACCGAACCTGAGGAGGGATATCGAACCAATGAGGACATCGACATTGAAAAATGATATTTCGAGAGGTTGCCAGGTGGCCTGCAACCCTTATGGGAGCAAAGGTCATGTGAATTTTGATTTGTATGTTTCAATCTGTTTCAGCCGACAGCCCAGGTCATGTTTTATATGTAAATTGTTGATTCATAATAAACGAATATTATTATAAACCGGGTTTTATATGAGTCTCGTATCACTAATTGGAAATGATAATCATTAGATAAATTTAAATAATTTGTTTGCGTACAATAATTTCAAATTTCAGTAACATACAGTGCATTATATTGTATTATACGTAATAGAATAACAATTGAAGCGATGCATCTCTCATCACTCAGCATTGCTACGTATACATTGCTTGCGTTGGCTAAGTTACAAAGCGTATGTATAGAACATAGTAATCAAGGTATTAATGACTAAGATAATAACCGCTTGGGTTAATATCTCGGTCGACTGACCGAAGGGGATATGACCGCAATCATTGGCGTAATAATAGTAATTTATGTTTCGGATTATGTTGATGGAATGCCTCGGACTTGTAACATGTCTCAGACGATAGTTGTAAATCTTGATTAAGGGATTCCAAGTTTTGATTTAGGAGTGCGACCAGTAGAAATAGCTTGAGTAGGTAATTAATACAGCAGTAAATATCCTCAGGTTCAGTTTGTAATTGATACTGCACAAGTTTGTTATTTGAAGTGGACGGCGCGGGATCGAGAGGCGACGGGCGCGGACTCAGCTCGGTTTGTTGTCACTCAATGAGCTGCTGTTTATTCTAGGTAACTAGTTCACTACTGACTTCTTCTTGCACTATTTTATAGCTGATTTATGGCGCAAACGAATGAAAATAGTCGTGTCTTGTGAAAATAAATTTAAATTAGAATTCGCAGTATAGCGCTGTAGTGGAATTTATGTTTATACTTCTTTTGTCCAGTTTTTTTCGCTCTAGGTACTCATTCAGATTACCAAGTTAAACAAAATATCTGTCCTTAGTCGTAGGATCTTGTATGAACAAGAAAGACCGAAAATTTCGTGAAAGTATGTAATATAGATACTCACAGTTCTATTCCCTATGTGCTTGGCCCGGCACCGGAGCACGGCTGCCTGTCCGACGACGGCGGACACGTTCCGAGGCGACACGTCGTCGAAGTAAGGTCGTTCCGGACGCGTGCCGTCGCCGCCGCTCACGCCCGGTAAACCACCTGCAACAAAAATATATTCTAACTTACTTACAGTCACTACCACAAACCTCAACTTACAAATTAATATAGATGTTAAAAGATTCTAGCATATTCTTAATTTGTCTTTATTGAAGTTCGTAAATTTTATTTTTTACGAACAGATTAGATTTAGTCTTCGTGTTAGCCCTGCTGAGGTTAAGACCCCCGTTTTTCATGCATGCAGGTGTGGTGTGACTTTTTCCGAGTTGAAGATATTTTCTAAGTTTAGTTAGATACCAAGTTGTAAGAAAACATTATGAAGAAACCTGGACTTATAAAGTAATTGCCTGTACACCTAGGAAAAGCGTAGCGATGAATTCAAATACCTTCTCCTTTTTAAAAAAAGATATTTGCTTAGCATTGCACATTTAAATGATGAGGCTTACTTATCCAAATAAACAAAAATTAATTAAAAAGATTGAATTAATGGAAAAGCCGTAAGAGCCATTAAGTCGTAAAGAGCAAGTTGGTGGTAATCTTTGTTGCCGGCGGTTCTGTTGCTCATGACGAACTCTGAACATCATTAAAATATTTTTGGTGACTCCAACTTCAGAGCGCAGGAGACGTCATAAATAATTACCAAGTTTAAATGGCGGGATCTTGTTTTTATTTTAATGGATTTCTCAGTTAATGACTCATGTGTGCGTATTTATCTTATACCAATTTCACTGCTTGGCATTATATCTTTGGATCAATCGGTCAAATATGTCATTTTAATTAAATGTCTTGTATGTAATACATGCAATATTAAATTAATAAATAATGTTGTATTGGAACCCGTGACGTGTTGTGCCCTAGACAGTTGTCCACCTCACCAACTTTGCTCACTGAATAGTAAAAAAAATGGTTTTGTTACTAACTAAAATAATTGTATATATTTTTGTGAAATGTATCGTGACATACTTAAAAAAGTTAACCAACAAATAAAATGAAAGTTTAAAATAATTTTGTCATTTAATGCAAAGTACGACATACAAATGTGATCCCTTGACGAGGAGTCGCGTGATTTGTGGGGATACAAGGAATTATCCCTCGCGACAACTTGAATGAAATCTTGAAATTAACAAATACGAGTGACAGCCCGCCACCTGAGGCCCACGCGACGTGATTTGCATACTGTTTGTGCTCGCTACACACGCTGGCCCGCTGGGCCCAATGTTGGAGAAGGACGACAGGCATCTGTCATAAAGCTAAATTCCAGTAATAATAAATACATGTTTTATACTATATACGATAGGTAAAGTGTTCATCAACTTTATTTTAGCATTCCACTTGCAAAAAACCAGCAGTTTTGCACTTAAACAACCTTTTTAGAAACTAACCGCTAGGTTGTGTTTAACGTGCTAACGTTCAATAACAATATTTACAAAATTGGTATAAAAAATATAAAACCTTAAAGTAAACAAAATTTCGAGGGTAAAATAATCAAGAATTTAAAATGTTCACCTAAAACTTTTCAATTTAGTCGTCCCTAGCGAACTCAATTTTACTAACAAAACATTGGTTAAGCGCTGATCGCATGAGAGCGATTTTGGCCAAACATTGGCGCCAGCGTGGTGTCGTCAGCCAACGTAATATGCCACAGCGGTGTTTACAGAACTAAGACATGTCCCGAGACGTATCTCACAACACAAACATAACTTGATTATTTAAGTTAAGAACATTTATTGCGTTCGATGTACACAGATTTTCATATGCAAACATGTTGCGGTAACCTGTCTGGTCTCATTGTTTGGACATCATTTAATGTAGAAACACACCGACTTACTTTGTGTTGTAAGTTTAGTTATTTTATTCAGTTCGGTTATATTCTTCCAACAAATTTAAACATCTCCAAATATTGTATTCCATTAAAGTTAATAATTCAACTTCCTGAATTACAGTAAGCCCGGCAAGATATTGTCTAAAATTGCATTATAAAAGCAAACATAATCTGTGTTATATATTATAATTCAACAAATTTAATAAAAATGCTAACAGCCTAATTCTTAAAATAAGATGTTTACTTTTCCTCGAGGGAGGCCTCATTCTGTAAGAATTAGACTCTAAACTGTTTTACTGTTTGCTTAGACAAAATGAAAATATAAAACGTGCCTGTCTTACCGACCAATTTCTCAGTTACACCGGTTTTGTTGTACTTTGAAACTGGAACGAAAACTTGTACAATAGGTTTAATACGAATAAAATGTAACAAAAAGTGTGTTTACGTAATACAAAGTAGAGAGGGCAAAAACTTCCAAATATCTTCCTCTTACTTATTACTTTAGTTTAGGAGTAGAGCCACGAGTATAAAGTTTGCATCAACTAAACAACACCCTGTATTCAAATCTTGGAGATTAAGAAAACAAAAACAACATATTATTATTGGAATGTGTCGGTGAGCGCTGTTCGTTTCCGGTTACGTGACGTCACACCCGCCGAACCGGAAATAAGAACGGAGCCTTTGCCCGCCCTCTTATAAAGGAAACACGGCAGAGCACATAAAGTTGCGGTGGGGCCGCTAGAGTGGCGGCCACTCGTACCACATTATTACAAGGAAAACTTTTACAACAACTTCTTTATTCGAAAATAAACATTTTGACCAACATTTATTGTAGCTTCAGTGAATCTTTTATACGCTTAGCCGGATTTTTGTTACTTTTATAGACAATATAAAACAAAGTCAGAATATGTGTAAATATACACCGTGTAGTACACAGTAGGCACACAATAAATGGTTGTAAATCAAGTAGATAGATAAATAGATAGACAGAACGTTTATTTGGTGCAACAAAAGAAACAAAACGCAATGATTATAAACAAGATGGCTATTAAATTATACAACAATACAAAGATTACCCCCTACATACTAGCTCCTCGCTCGACAAGAACCAGACTCGAGCAGACGGCGAGTAGCATTCCTCGAACGCCTATGAGTCGATAGACCATTACAGACGGGGCCCTATGGGGCTGATGCCCAGCCTGGATTAACGGGGTAAGCGCAATTAGTCACCACGGCCTCGGCCCAGAGCAGGAGATGACACTCCCTCCCACCTGGCCCTGGGCACAAGAAACCATTTGATGATTTTCCCCTGACGAAAAAAAACCTAAAAAATTTACCCCTTTATAATGATAGTGTAAAATAAAATTTTCATTTCATTTTCAAATAATTTCCACACGACGAAAATTCATTTCGCCACATGATTATTCCAAAGACAAGACATCAAGAAGACTCGCTGTCTTCCGAGCCCGATACGACAAGTCTGCGGTGCAGTAAGAAAATGGAAATGACAGCGATGAAGTTCTTTTGTGAGTCGAGTCCGCGGCGTATCAAGGTTGTGAGTCTTTTGTCTCGCGTCTGTTTGTACCGCGACCGTCTTACATGTGTTGCTAACAGGTATCTGATAGCTCTCTTCCTTCATTCATTTTGCTTTGACCATTTTTTTCTTAACTAAAAAGTTATTCTTTGTGATAAATTATTTTAAGTTATCTATGCAACTTTTCTATTGAAGATCCAAGAATATTTGTTAAGGGCTTTTTCCGTTTCAAATTACGTAAGTAAAGTGAATGAGAACTATAATGATCGTAGTTTTTCCCTCGTTTATAGGCTTTCACTGTTTCATTAACAGACATTAATACATACATACATACTTTATGTGCCAAGAATCTCTACCTTTGTTAACTTCAGAGTAATAAATATATATTTTTCTTTTCTTTCTTTATATAAAACGTTGCCCCACAATAGGATTTTCTCCTGTGTCGTGGGTGCGGTTACAAACATACAATTTCACATGCACATGACACCCAGGCATGGAACAACAATTTGTGGGTCACACAAAGAGTTGTTCCGTGCGGGAATCGAACTCGCGACACGTTGCACGGCAGCCAGTTGCCCCGCCACCGCACCAACCGTGCAGTCAAATGTTAACATCTTATTAAAAAAATTAGACTAATTAATTAATTATTTTAATTCATTTTTTATTTTATTTTTACCAAGATCTATAAGTGCTTCTGTAAGAATGAAAACGGTTCAATTTTCTTAATTTCCACAAGCAGGTAATTTATTAGCAAAGTTTCTAAGAAAACTATTATTATAAAGAGTATGGAATCAAAGAATTTATTTATTATTTTAATTAAATTGATATTGCTAATTTTTTTAGCCTTGGAATATTATTAAATCTCCAGTAACTTTACATATTTGGGATAATACTTTGATATAATATTTGTATTCCTAGAAAAAATGTTTTTGAAGATTATAATATTTTTCTCAGTTTCTTTTCATAAACATGTTTACGAATAATTAGTTATTTTTTGTTATATATCAAAGAGATTTCCAAGAAAACATTGTTCATTTATGTAATATAGGTTGCTCTTTTGAATATAATAAGTAACAAACAGTAATAACAGAACATGATTTCATTTTAGATAGATACGTCTGCACCGTGATCGTTGCACCAGTCTAAACTATTGGCAAAAAGGTACGATAGCACACTGCCTGGCGGGTGGCGGGAGAGCAAAAATAACTCGCCCTCGAGACCAAAGCACGATGTAAAAAAGCGTGAAATAATATAAAAACACGAAATTCCAGGCAGTTTCTAGTAACAATGACGTTCGGGGCATGTCCTCGGGTGCTAAAAGAAATAAACCACACTGCGCTACATTTACAGTAGCCACCCCCGCCCCCGCGCCCGCCCCCGCTCCCGCGCCCGCGTCGCTCCACTGCGCTTCGCTTCAAAATTCCCGCTACCTGAAAAGATATATTCTAAATGGATTTAAACCGAGGTAGAAGCAACACTTTATATCGCTGAAAGCTGAACAATTTTCGTGATACTAACCGTTTTCTGATATTGCATTGCCGAGTTATTGCTAAGCGTTCCGATTTGAAATGGGTGTTGGCGAAGCAAATGGATGGAATTATTTTTATCGAACTGCGGTAAAATACTTGTATTTTATTGTATCATGTGCACTCGCGACTTCTATTATTTTGGAGATCTGCGTTATTGACTATAAAAACTATTCATACATGCTGATCTAAAAGTTGATACATTTAATGCAAGTAATGACTTGTACATAGAAACTAATGAACATGCATCATAATAAAATAAAATTCGTAGATACTTAGATACTTTAGTGGAAGAAATATCAATTCAAACCAAGTAGCTTAATAAATTGCAAATAAACGAACAAAATTCCTGCTATTAGTTACAACACTATCAGGAACGTTCAATCACAATCGTTTAGAAGCACATATTTCAAGCAGTTTGTGACCTAAACTAGTGGCATTGCCGACATGCTCCGAATGTTCACAGGCGACTGTAGAGCGCACGCCGCCGCCGCCGCCGCCGCCGCCCCGTCGCTTGCACGCGAACCCGCAAAAACTGAGCACGCGATGCAAACACAGTTCTAACTGTTACAAATGTATTGCAACGCTTAACAATCATTTTGGAACAATTGGTCGAACCTCCATAAATAAACCGACTATTTAACTGATGTACAGAACACTTAATTAGTCGTTATTAACATAATCATGATAGATTACAGTTACCGATAATAATATTATTTTATTATAAAGCACGTAATTAGTTTAGCACACAATGTGGAACCACGTTCAATAATAGAATTAATCACCGCTATTTACTTTTAATTAGATACAAATACATGATATGAGATACAAATTGCATGTGAAATATGTTAAAAAGTAACCGAAAATAAACCTTATTATCTGTGTCTGTAGAACTAATCCTTACTAAAGCTTGGTGAGAGATATGACGTCTGCGAGATAAGTACGAACAAGATTGATTGGTAAACGATTTAGTATCGCTCTCGTAAGACTTGCCTATATAGGCGACAGTTGATAAAAGCAATGAGACAGCGGACTGGTATATTTATCAACATTAAACATAAATCTGAATGTACTTAGTACCTACAATTGAAAATAAAAATAAAACTGTTCCTATAATGTTATTTATCACAGACAGATTATATATACTCAATAAGATATGTAGACTATATTAAAAAGCTATTTTGGCAAGTTATTTTAAATCAAGCATAATTTCACATTGATATAAGTTTTTATTGAAGTTCAATAAATTAAAACCCAACCTACCTACTCACACAATTGTTTACACGGCTAATAAATTCTGGCGTTAACATAAAGAAAATAAAACTAAAGCTAAACCTTCAGTGAGTTTCCTTAACCTCATTTTAATGCCTTCCTAATTTACTCGAAAAAGTCAAAATGCAAAGTAATTTACAAGTTTACAAGTGAAGTGTACGTTGCTTTGTTTCGCAGTATAATGTCACGCGACTCCGTTTGTACAACTGCCACACTTCCTATGTGCTAACAAAAATAGTTTTAAATTGTTGTTCTACCAAACTACGTTGTTATTTTAAAAGAACGTTTAACAACAACGAATAAGTATTAAATATTTAAGCTGTGTGTTCTTCCAATACTAAAGATTGTTTGCTGTACTCAAATCACTTTTTGATTGAACGATCACAAAAATATGTAGCCGCTCCGTGACAAAACAACTTTAAATTGTATTTATTCTTCAAAACCAAAACTAATTTGAAAGAAAAGATTACAACATTCCAACAAAGGGAATATCAAAATAAAATACTTGACAGGCTCGGGCACAAAACACAAATTTTATATTTTCGTCATTTTTAAAAAGATCATGAATTTTATTTAGGAAAAATTCATATCGGGCACTTCATAAATAATAAGTCACTTGACTCTGTAAAGTGGCTGAATTTCAGAGCTTCGGTGACAAAGAGCCGAGGGATGGCACGAGACGGGAGTGGTGGGCCGGCGAAGGGGGGGGAGTAATTACACTAATGAATATTAACAGGATACTGTAGTGGTGTGCTGAATCTAATGAAATAAGATAAAAACTGATCCTTTCCATTATAAAAATGGCAGTGACACATTAGTAAATTAATTCTCTGCGCGGAGATAATATTTCTTCAACAAAATCTTAAGTAAAAATTCCTAGATTTTGTTTGCGTTACTGTAATATTTTGGTTTACGTAAATGTTTATGAAACATTGTGTGGTAATTTGATAGCTTAAAGGAATGGTTATAGCGATACCGCTATATTTATTTTACGAGAGACAACGGCTACTACTCTGAGCTCTCGCTGAGATATGGCTTGTTGGATTCATTTCCCAGCCTAGTCGAATACGAATAGTCGCATCTTATTTCATATCTTCTCATCTGCAAAACTTCCAAATTTTTATAAGTACCAATTACTTTATATAAGTAAATACCTTTTCTGGATCTGTTTCACCGGTCTCAATAAGAGCAAACCAGCTCACTGAAATTTAATGACTCACTGATTTCCACAAACCGCTCAATGAGAGCCACTTGTGAGAGTTGCACAGTGAATTACCTAAAACTGGCTTCAAAATGACTAGCAGCTGAAAACTGAAGCGAATATTAATTTTCATAAACCATGGCCCTTTATACAATGCTGTAAAAGCGTTATAAATCAAGTTGTAATTAATTGTTGCCCGCTCTTTGCAATTATTATGTTTGATGGTTTAATTTCATTTAGTGAACATTTCATGTGGCATTTGTAACAATAATCTAATGAATGTGTATTGTGAGCATTGCAATTATCTCGTCCAATATTGTGCCGGCTGCTGTCAACAATAGTATGGTTTGTGTTTGCTTTATTTTGTTGTTGCCATTGTTTCTACAAGGTTTACCTATCAAAAGAAAATTACAACTTTGTCCGTAGCCCAAATGACCTTTACGACAAACTACATATCACGGTAGTCTTAAAAAATAACATCAAGTTTCAATCTTTCAACCCTAAAAGTAAATAAAAGTAATAAAACGTGCAACAAAGTAAGGGACCGCGGGACGTTTGGGTTTTATTATCGATACGCGGGCCCCTAAACATGCGAGGCACGTCGCTCGTCGATACCCTTTTATGTATCGCGTTAGGGCTCACTTTTATGTCATAGTTTAGAAAATGGTTAATTGCTCGGCTATATACGGTTGCTACAGATGACAGATTCCTAATGTTACTGCCGACATTTTATTGTATCACGCTCAGCCGGTCAATTTTATGTTTTATCTTGTTATGTATTTTCCAAGATATATCTAGTATGAGCCGTATTAGTGTGTGGAAATAAATAACAACGTCTTACTTCATTGCTTTGTTAGTTTTGGATTTGATGGCAGTTTAAATCATACACACCTCTGTTTTACTTTAAGAGCTTGAACAGAAACATTATCAAGATGATTTCTTTAAATAAATTGAATGGGAAAGCAAAAAGCAAGTATCACAGTGTCGTATCCCGGATCGATTTACGACGCCATCGAATTATAACGAAAATACTGGAATCTGTATTAAGTTATATATAAATCATTGCTTCATAAGAAATCTCAAAATAAATTTTGAATGGATATTTACGTATCAATAAAAAGTACGGAAATCACGCCTGAATATACATATTATAATTTTTCAATACAAAACATAAAACAGGAAGTACAAAGTAATATAAAATTATGGGGTGTCGTATGTAGTATGTTACATAGTATTTACAGATAATGTTGACTGTAATCTGGCATGTTCGGCACTCCAATCCAAAATCATATCAAAGCATAATTCAATATCTAGGAATCAATTTCTAGGCAGATATGTTAAGAAGATATGTCAAAGGTTGCCATGGCGAAGATTATTGCATCCGCTCCGCCTTCGGGTCAAAGGGAACCCACTCCACATGGGAACTTAAAATGGTCTTCATATAAAGTCCTAGTTCATGTTGCTTCTTTGAGCGACACTGAAGAAATACGGTACCTTTAGTATATCAAATTTTATGAAACAAGAGTTTTTTATTGTTTTGTTTCAAGATGTGAGTAGGTCTGTATTGGTTCTACCATTAATTAAGTTACAGGCGTCAAATAACCTTCACGCTTGATAAATACAATAGCAAAGGCGTAAGTAAAAATGTAAATAATAAAAAATGAGATTTAGTACATTTAGATGTAGTAATCAATAAACATATCTGTTTATATTGTGTTCTAATAAACTATGGTTCTGCTGCCATTCATTATGTATATTTATCTCTGCATCATCCAAAGGTTTGGCTGTCAGAGAATGCCCATGGCATTAAGCCCACCTTTGTACATTTGTTTTGTGCATAAAGATATTAAATAAATAAATAAATAAATTATGTTTAGTTTTATTTTTACCTATGATATGAATAGCCGACAGGGCAATCTCAGTACCGTCTCAAAATTAAATGTCACTTCTAAATTTATTATTAACAATTTTGTTTATTCTGAAATATTTAATATCATTCAATGAAACAATTTACTTACATAAACGAAATTTCATGTATCGCAAATCGATTGTGTTGCAAGGCCAATATGTTTTTACGCTATCTACGCCATCTTTGCACCAAATTTCATGTTAATTCATTCAGTATTTTTTTCGCAAAGAGTGACACATCTACTCATACCTACATTCATACTCACAAACTTTGTCGTTTTTAATATCAGTAAGATTACTTAGTGAGGTGTATTTATTTCAATTGTTTCCCGCATTGCATAAACATAATACAGGGTCATTAATTAAACGAAATTATGAAATGTTCACTTACCAATGCATGTCAATATGTTTGACCAATACAACGTTCTTAATTTACTACCCAGTAAATTAATTTACTTCGTTGCTTAGTTGTATTGGTATTTTCCAACGTGAAGATTTTGACATTGAGTATCAATCTCTCCTATCCCTTTCCAGTCACTAAATCCGCAAGCCCCTTATCACCTTAGATATAGGCAACGTACTTGCAATTCCTCTGGTGTTCACTGTTGTTGGTGGTCCATGAGCAGCGCTGATCCCTCAGCATTAAGTGATAAGTGTTCATACTAATATTATTCAAATAAAATTTTGGGCTTCACTTGATCAGCAAATATTACTAAATATATATATTTTGACAACGCACTAAAATTTTCTCCTACGTCGTGGATGCACTGAACATCTACTTGTGGTTCACACAAATGGTTGTCCAGAGCTTTGTTACTATTTATGAATTTGTAGCTATCAATCACTGTATTGTAATGAAGCTGTTTATTCGATAACTACATTATGGTGGCACATTTGTTATTAAAACGTAAAATTTGCATGCAATCAAATTATTTGTACCAATTCAATTACTTCAAACAACACATAAAATATAATTATTATTAAATGAACACGTTTTATGTCAAATCTGTATTTGTCTGTGAATAGTGGCAGTCGAAATACAATAGGTAATTGATCACGCAGGAATGATTAAATAATTTTAATGACATTATATTGTATTCAAAAACTTTTTTTAATAATAAACTGTAATCTCTTTGTAGTTATTCCAGCGACAACAGCTGTGTTAAATTTTATTTCAATTGAA